AAGCTGCAAATGAAAACAGTGCTCCTAAGTTATTTTTAGGCTCTGCTAGTGCTAGAGCCCCTCAAAGAGTGAGAAAAATGCATGCACTATAAAGCAATTATCAGTAGGTGGCAATTGATACCGCTATGAATCTCGTACCACTTTAAACATTAAAAAAAAAAATTAAAATACAATTTAGAGTTGTGAGGTGTTTGATATTCATGGAGAAGAGAGATTCCATTTTTTAATGTCAATTATAATTTCAGGATAAATGCTAAACTGAGACCTTCAGCTTTGTACTGGTTCAGGGCTCTCAGCTTGGAACAGCTGACTGGCGCTTCTTAGGAGTTAGCTGCTGGGGCGCTTGCAGGAATAAAAAAAGCCTGCTATCTTGGAGAATTCTGTGCTGCTGCGTTTTCGGCTCAGCACTCAAGTACAGTGCTTTAAAATCCAGAGAGGGGACTGACATGCCTTTGGTAAGCGCAGGTGCTAGTTAGGTAGTTGACCTGAGGAAGGTAGTCTCAGGAAGGAGAGTTGGTTTCGGCCACAATCTCTCTTACTTTTCTCTGGAGCTTAGGTGCTGGTATGCTGGGGAAGTCAGGAATTCAGAATGACATGAGAAGCACTTCTGCTAGCTCAAGATCTCAAACTGCCCTCTAAGTAGCTATCAGGCTGGGGCTCACCCTCAAACTGCTGTCGCGGCGCTCTCCTTGTTCACTTCTTGCATTTTTACTCGATGGCTGGAGTATTTTCCCAGAAGCAGCAGCCTCTAGCCTGGGCTTTTGTTAGCCCGAGGAAATTTGAGCTTACATCTGCAAGTGTGCTGGTTGCTAACAGGGAGGCTGTAGGGTCTTCCAGTCCTTGGACCATGCACCCACTATCACTTCTGTGGGGCTGGGGGCACTTGAGCAAAAGCAAGATGATGAATATGGTACAAAGCTGTGAAGAGCAGAAATTTCTTCAAGCCAAGGAGCACTCCAGCCCAGATGTCTCCATTTTCTTGTGCAGAGGGGTCCCCCATGAAAGGGCTCCTCTCCTGCTGTGGCTGGTGCACAACTTCATGATCGAGGGACAGGGACGTTGATGTGGCACGGCCTCTGACAGTGCTATTCCCTCCCAGGGGTGGAGAGGGATTAGGACTAATTCATGTCTTAAGTATGCAGGCTAACAGTCAGAGGAAACATTACTCTGTTCCTCCGTTAGATCACTACTGTGTCTTTCAAAAGGTTTCTTCTTGGTCCGGTGATGAGTCAGTCCATGTTTTTGCTCGGTAATACCAGATTTGGGAACAGGAAGGTTTTATTTATGGGCTAATCTGAAGGTGTAGCTTCCTTTCACCCGTGAGTTCCCTGAGGAAAGGAAGCAAACAGAGCTGCTCTTCCCTGCAGCGCTGCCCAGATCTGTGCTCGCCTGCTCCTTCTTGCCCCGTACAATTACTCCTTACTGGGGTCAGGAGAAGTGATATGAAGTGTCTAGAGTCAAGGCTAGCTTTAAGGATCCTGCCCTCTCATTGCTGCATATCTGCTGCAATCTGCCGTCCTCTCAGCTCTACCAGTAAGAATTCAAAATATTTTTTTAAAGTGAGTTTGTTTGCTAATTTGATTCACAGCATATCACCAGAGGTGGCCTGCCAGGTACACCTGAAATGGCACTGTGCTACCCTGCGTGGGCAGGATGAAGTTAGAGGTTGACACCTCTTTAAATCCTCTTTGTCACAGACCCTTTTGTACTTTGAGTCTGCCCGGTGCCAGTTTTCGATAGCTTGCAGCTCTTGCCTGGATGCCCATATCTACTCGACCCTGTCTTTTAAAACTGAAGCCTGAGTCTGGAAACTCAGGCTCTTTGTTTTCATTTTGTGGTGCCTAAAACTTACAGGGAAACTAGTGCTGTAAAATTCAAACACAAGGAAAACGTAGTTATGGTTTCTTGGCATTTGGTTTGCCAACCACTGGATGTCAGTGCTGCTCCACTGAAGAAAGGCTCTTCCCCCGCTTCCTTCCCCGAGGATGTGCGGGAACCCAGAGCAGAGGCTCTTCACTTCTGTCGCTTAAGGAACTGAGCAACGTTTGGATTTCTTGGGAAAACTGCCACAGAGGTGGAAAATATGCATTAATTGCACATATCTAAAGCAACTACTGTGTTTCAAACCTCTTAATTCTCAATGCGAGGCGAGACACAAGATTGTGCGTGTGAGTTAGTCTGTTGGAGCTTACGGGCTTGCTGAGTCAGCCTGGGGACTGTCCAGTAAGTGAAATAAAGCCTCTGGAAAAAACTAAAAGTGTGATCTTACTAGAGGTATAAATGTAGTGCTTTTATGACTTGCAAATGGCACATTCAGCAACACGTGATTTTTCAAGTTTAAAAAGTGAAACGTGCTGACAGGTTTGAGGAGATTAAGTTGGATATGTAACAAAAAGCCTGTCTAGACCTCTGGGTTTATGTTTTAAAAATGTATTAAATGTAGATCAAAAAATGCTTATAAATTGCTCACAGATGTGTTGTTCTGTTCAGGCTTTTGTAATGGGTTTGGCTTTTTGAAATTATGTTACTTACTGTCTGTCTTTCTTATGCTCGTCGCCATTTTGTTCCTAAAAACAACTCACCTACGCTACAGGAAATAGGCCAAATATGCAAGCAAAAGATTGGGAGGTTTTTGCAGTGTTTTCTTTGTTTCTTTTGTTGAAGGAAGTCTGAAATGTCGTGGCTGTCTGTCTTTTCAATTGGAGGGCAAAGAAGTTACCTAGCTAAGCTTCTGAAGGTGCAGGTCAGGGGCACAGTGCAACCGGCATCAGATACTGCCTTCTCCTTTGAGGCAAAAGGTACTATTATTTTTCCACTGGCTTTTACATGGAGCTCTTGAATGGCATCCAGCTGGCATGCCGATTTTGAATGTATAACATCCCATTTTCCTCCATTTTAACGTAACTGTATCACCAAAATTAATCCAGGTGAATACATGTGCAAAGCAACCAGATCTGCTATTAATCTCTTATTAAGGACACGATGGAGAAGCTTTCTTTTAGCAGCCAACTTAATGCACTTAGGTAGCATATCCATTTTATCTGTGCAAAAAGCTAAATAAGTTGTCGACAGCTTAAATGCTTGTGCTACGAATGGAAGTATCGCGGTCTGTACTCAGCTGAAGTCTTCTTGAGAGGGATGTGCGGAAGGCAGGCACCAGTGGCCTGAACCCTGTGTTTGGAACGGTCAGTCTAGCACTTGTGTGTTGGTAGCTTATAAATATGATTAGCTGCGGCTACTTCAGGCATAAAAACAATTCAGCTGGAGGATTTTAGTCACTAAACTGTGCTTGTAGAGATCGTGCCGTTTCAGAGGTTGCTTACAGCATGCTTGACCGAGAGAAGAAATGCCGTATCAGATCAGTCTTAGTTATAGACTGTTTTGATTCTGTAACTTTCTTTTCACACAGGGCCAAAATTAATAGTAGGTTTGTACCAATTTCTTTTTTTTTCTGGTGGATGAGGAATATATACTGATGATGTTCCCTGACAATAAGTGAAATACATCCTTCTTCACCAGAGAAATGCTCTTTAAATACCTATAGATCTGTTGTGTGAGTTCTTTCCATGTTTAACTTAATTTAGTTTCAGAAACTCTGGTGATTTCTGATGATTAAGGTAATTTCTTTTCAAACACGGGAATGTTTCTGTGCATTTAAGCTTTTTGTTGTGTATAGAGAAATAGAACGATGGAAGTTTGTGCATCGTAAGTTCAAAAAGTTTCTATTTGTCAAGAATAATTCCTTAAAACATGATAGCTGTCTCTAAAAAGTCAAATTCTCTCTAGTAGAGACTTCACTTGCTAGAAGATGAATAAAGGAAGTTTTTTACCCATTGAAACCAAAAGTGCTAGGTCTCTGGGTTTGGTGACAGGAATTGTGTTATAGGGATGCAGTTGGGGAAATGGATATTATAATTGCAATTGAAATGCATTGCTGATAAATGTGATTAATAAATATTGGGAAAGATGGACTGAATTACTCATATTACTTTTTTCTACATCATCTGTAATCAGGAAAAAAGACCTGAATCCAGGTCCACAGTGAAATTGGAAAGCACAACGTTTTAAATGGATACAGAAGTCTTTTTCATGGCATGCCAAGCTGGAACCCTGAATGCGTTCGGTGACTTTTTTTTTCTTTCGGTACATTTCTTACACCTGGAAGTTTAACCGTGAATAATAAATAGTGAAGATCACATCTTGTCTGCTATGGGATTACATTTTTCCCACGAGCAACTATGCTTTTCTGACAGTTTTTGCAAATGGAGATGGTTTTACGCAGAGCAGCTGACATGAGCATTTCACATGCTGCTGCTATACTTTTAGAAAATTATTATGTTTAAATGTATTTGGTGTGAAAGGGCAGAAATGAACAACTTTTGATTGTCTTGCCACAACAGTGTTTATAACTTTGCTAATTATGCAGATTCTGCATGTGGACTGTCTTGTGTAAAGCCAACAGAAACACTTCACAGACAGTCCTTCTACTGGGTAAATCTGATTTAAAGAGGCTTAAAAAAAACCCTTGACTGTTGCGTGTTACGTAGTAGATGAGCTAAATGCACAGTCCATCCCGTATCGTGATGTCTGATGGTTTGAAGAAGATTCCAATCTTGGCAGATGCTGTTTGGGGCTTTTCTGCCACTGTTCTCTGCTGGCTGCCCAACCAGCAAGGTGGTGGTGGTGGTGGTGTCTCTCAGTGGGGTCCGTGCAATGCCATCCACCTACACAGGAGGAAGCATGTAGCTGTTGAGGCAGGAGCTGCTGTTCACCAGGTACGTGCTATCTCTTTCAGGAGGAGAAGAGTCTCGCTGGCTGGAAGCAAGCTGCTGTTTGGGCCTCGTACCTCAGCGATGCGCTGAAGTTATATTACCTTCTATATCCTGTTTCTCTTTAATCTGAAGGATAGCAATCAGTGAAGATTTCGTTTGCGCAAAGATGTTGTTAAGCAGTTCTGTTAATCGTAATGTGAAAACTAATAAAATCAAATCTTTTTACAGATGCAAATACTGGCATTATGATGATAACCTGCTCACCTCCAGTGTTGTCATTGTCTTCCATAATGAAGGATGGTCCACACTCATGAGGACAGTCCACAGTGTCATTAAGAGAACACCAAGGAAATACTTGGCAGAAATTGTGCTGATTGATGATTTTAGCAACAAAGGTATATTTGGAATATTAACATACTACTTGTAGGAAAGGAAACTTCATTTGTTTTAAAAAGTTTTCTTTTGATTTATTCCCTGCCATGGATTGAGTTGACTCTGCAAGAAAAGTAAGTTGCTTCTTCACAGTCCTTTCAGTTCTCAGTGAAGGGCAAGCTTTTCCAATGAACTCTTTCATAAAGGTGGCAATCCTTTACGTGTATGAAGCTGTTTGAAAGACGGGATATGTGGTGGGCTCTCTTCCACAGTTGTGGGAGTAGTATATAGTAGAAAGCAGGCACAGCTAGTACCTCTCTTAGCTCTTGTGACAACAGGCAGTTTTAAGAGTTTTGAAGGAGTTTAAGTTAAGCCTGTTAGGAATAATTTTTCTTTATTCCACATAGGAATCCAGATTCCTTCTCTCCCCCCCTCCCGCCCCCACTGTAATAAAAATGTATCTAAGGCTATTAAATTATTATGCTTCATTTTCAATATCTTTCTAATTTTCAGCATTCTTTTTTAATTAAACATCACATTAAGGTGTTTATTTTTTCTTACTGGGGGAGGAGCTTTTAAGAATTCAAGTGCGTTTTAATCTCTGCCTTTCTTTGAGTCCTGCATATCAACATTTTCAGAAGTCCAGAGATTTTCCTCTTCCTTTGTAATACACATTCTGGCCTTGGTTTATAGTCAGGATGTATGTACTTATGCGTGATTCTTATAAATATAAACACGCACTGACTTTTTCCTTTAATGGTGGTATCTTCAGCATTAATTAAGGCTGAATACAGAGAAAAACTAAAAGTGGTATGCTAGAGATATAAGATGATTGATATAGAGGAAATCTGTCTGGTTTTAAACTTTAAACAGATTTCAAAACAGTGCACCAAAGCTACACATTCTGCAAGATTTTATTGCAGTGTAGTTCTTGGATAGAATTCGACAGAGGAAAAGAGTAGACGCATAAATAAAAACGTAACTTTGAGTGTGGGGGATGACAGCCTTTTCTAGATGACAGCAGCAATGGCTTTTAGGAGCCCCGGCAAGTTTGAACTGGTCAGCAGCATAGAATACATTCCCTTTACCCTCCTCTTTGTTTTTATAATAGCTGAATTGGGTAGTGGCATGGAACAGATGACTCTGTTCTGAAACTCTGTTTTATCAAGTGATCTGGGCTTCTCCCAATTCCAGCCTCACAGGAGGAGTTGTTTTCTGCAGGTATACCCACTATAAATTTTAAAACTGAGTCAGGGTTGCCTTTTTTGAGTATAAATCACTATTAAAAATAATTATTGTATGATAATTTTTGCGCCTTACCTGTAAGTAGGTAGGTATCATTTTCTGTTTACTTTTACAGGAGAGGAAAAGTTACCTGTATTGTAAACTTGACTACATCGGGCTTAGTCTAATAAAGATACTGTACAGTACATTATAGTCTCCTGTATCTTTTTACAGCTTTTGAGAATTTGGCTTACATACACGCTATAAAACAAAAAGATCTTCTCTCCCAAGGGGTATAATTTTAATAATTCAGTTAGCAGACATGTGCTGGTTTTTTTCCTTTTCAACTGGGATCACAGCTTTCCTTCAGAGCTGTTCAAGGACTGAGTTAGCTGTATAAAATAACTATGACACTGATGGTCTCTAGAAACACTACCATATTTTTTTCCTAATGATTGGACTCAGTACTTGGGTTTCATATGAGTTGTAGCTGACTCTATGCTATGTATATGTAACTCACGGAATGAATTTGTTTGGCATAACTCATACTACAGTTTTCCAATATATGATGATTGTTAAATAAAGGCAGTATTTTTCAAGAAATCTGTTTTGAAATACAGAACTCTACTTATGCTCTCTGCTTATGTATAAATGGTTAGCAGATACAGCTAGCCTGGACCTAACATCCAGCAGACCCTTGTCTCTATATTTCCCACACTTCATTGTCCCAAATAACTTTCTTGAATCAGAAAATTCAGTAAAGCAAGCTCAAGATGCAATTTTCTCATGTATGAGTGACTGGAAAACAAGCACAGACTGGAATGGCTCTGAACACCTTGCTGCAACTGTACTGTTTCACTACAATAATTCTTCAAACTGCTTTAGGCTATTATGTGGTAAACATAATTAACTTAATTTCAATAATTCAAATTGCATTCTAGATGAAAAATGTCCGAGAGAGTAGAATCTTGCTCCACTTCTTTCTCCCCAGAGAGAAGCATGAACTAATACGGGCTGCAGAGTGTGCCAAGCCACCTGAAGAGATCTCCAGTTGTTAGGAGAACTGCAAAACACAAACACTCTTAATCATAGACGAGCTGCTGGTGGGGTTTTGCTTTTTCAGCCAGAAGAAGAGCGGGGCTGACAGCACAGATACAGGATTTTCTCCTTCCCCACCTGCTTTCAGACTGCACATGTCCTACCTGCCTTTCCACCCGGCCAAGAGCGCCTTACACCCTTCGGGACCAATGTTGAAGGACGCAGATGCTGGACTGCGTCGATGTTTGCTCACGCTCAGTGTGGCTGTCCTTATTTCTCAGCCACCGCCTTCTCCAGGGATAAGAAATTAAAATGGAGCGTAGCAGTTGCAAGCACCTCTAAATACCAGCTCATAAAGAGCCCTGCCTGTCCTTATGAGAAGTCCTCTTTCACCAGAAGGGAGTTACAGCTGCACAGAAGCTTATATATGTTAAGCCTTACAGGGAGGAACGCTTGCGATGCTTGGAAAGCATTCTTTTCATTACAATTCTTTGTGTGGAGTCAGTTTATAAAGGGAGCAATCTTTTTGCTGAGCAGCACTCCCTTCTTTTCTTAATCTCCTCTGCAAACAGCAGGTTTGACCGTGGAGAACTGCGCGGAGGGATGAGCTGAATTCTGCGCGGGCATTTTTTCCTTTGTCAAAGCACAAAGGGAACAGTAACAAGAAGATGACGCCAAGCTAACTGAATGATGCTAGTTCTGATATTTCCAATGGAGACTTCTGCATTAATGCATGTTAGAGTCTGGGAAGTGTTGCAGCAGCTTCTACTACAGTGTCAGTGTAGCCATGCTGCTGCACATGGGTATTTTATTTCCCCATTTTTTCTTATGTTTCTTGATTAAAAAAAGAGTTTGTGTTGCTGTGAGTGCCAGCTGTATGGAGGCTACAGCTGTTCTGCAGTGAGAATTCATAACACCAGATTTTCTGAAGTTCCCTACAACTACAGTTGTGTATGTAGGTCTTCAGCAACTACTTGTTATGTACTTAGGTATCAGCTTTATTTCTTTCTGAAGCACAGAGGTCAATATCTCAGCTGATGCAGCTCGCTTTGTGTAGCCCGTGCACCTGTAAAGAGTGACTGTGAAGTAAATACCAGTGTTTCTTAGTAGCATTCAAAGGCTTTGTCTGTCTTTTGCATTTACTGATTTTTTCTTTATTGCTATCTGTATTTCCCACTGATGGAGCTCCTCATAAGATAACCAAAGGGGAAGTAATGAGCATAGACAAGTAACAGTATTTTCATTAACTTGTTTAACTGTGCTCACAGTAGGGAATCTGAAGCATTAATCAGTGCTTGTGTTAGAGCTGGGCGCCTCACGTTCATAGTATTGCAGGGGACTCAGAAGCAGCTGCTTTAGGGAGGACTTGTGATAACCATTTTTCTGCTTCTCAAACTGACATCCATGAGTCAAGGAAAAAAAACTCGCTTTCCTCCCCCGTAATCTGCAATGCCTAAGATCTTTTGGAGAAAGGATACGTTTTTTAAAAAACATTGATTCATGCTTTAATCATGCACTGGGACAGGAGAGAAGAACCCAAAGAAGGGAAGACCAAATTGGTGGTTATAATATTTTTGAAGGATCAAATACACACTTTTTTTTAACAAAAAACAGAATGCTGTAAGGCTGTTGACAGATATCATAAATACATGTTCCAGGTGAACAAAATTTAACGCTGGCCAAACAGTATTTCTAACTGTAAAAGTATCAGGATTTTATACACTACTGTCATGCAGTCTTTGTAGTATGGCAAGGGGGGAAAATTCCCTTTTCCTTTGGGAAATAGCACTCGCTGCTAACCCTGGCACAGTTTCAGATAATGGACTGTGAAGCCCTGAGACTTGTACTGTAGAAAAGCTTTACACAATCAATATGACAGGGTTTTACAGCTCCCCATGAGCCTTACATAGTTAAACATTTGATAACTAAAACATTTGGCTTCATAGGCAGGAGAGCTGGAAATAACTTCAGGATTTAAATCTTTAAAACATTCCTGACAGTCCTTCTGTAACATGTACTTGGAAGTTGCAGAATAAATAATGGTGTGGCATAAAGATTCTCTTAGTACCACTTCGGTATGACCTCATAACTCTCTTGAATTTGTCCTATAAAAATTTGTATCACAGCTATCATATCGTATATTCTGTGTATATTACATGGCATGTTATTCTATGCAGCATATGTGATAAAATTTTTCTTTCTCTAGTTTAATATTTATGTGTCCTTGAAGATTTCTTAACACACAAGGATTTACAAAAGAAATTGTAACTGTGTGGGAAGGAGAAGAGGATACATAGAACTTTTAGTTGAGAAAACTTACTCTTTTATAAAGCTGAAGAGGAGGGATAAAAGATTCAGAAGACTGTTCTTTGGTAGAATTGCTGAATTTTCAAGTTTGGAAACTTAATTCCCAAAAAACACCATTTCCATCTCAATTACTTACATGTAGCTTTTGTTTAAACTTTTTTTTTTTTTTAAATACTTTTGGCAAGAAATATAAAGCATCCTGAAACATGAGTTGCAGCAGGCTCCGGACTTCAATCATTTTCGTTCAGGGTGTGGAAAACGTTGCTGCTGAAGCAACCTGATGGCATGTTGTGCTGAAAGGGACGTCCTTCTCCTTCCACCTGTGCACGTCCCCTCTCCTCTTAGATCAGCGCAGGCATGGCATCCAGCAGCCCCTCGGAGCTGGGGCAGACCAGTGCGTGGATGCCTTGGCTGTAGCTTAGGTGGCTTGTTTTGGTTCCTGACGGAGAGAAACTGAAGCTGTAGGCAATTCTTTCCAGCCTTTCAGTACAAAAATAGATTTTAAATGAACACCAGTAGTTAAATCAGCATAGCCTCAAAACAGCAAGCGCCTGACTGCCAGCCCTTCTGCCTTTGTGAGTTTTCTCAACAGAATCATCTGTGCAAAAATATTGCACAACACTAAGATCCTTTTTTCAAACTGTGTGGTAGGAATGTGGTTTCCAGATTAGTTTGGCAAAGACCAATGTGCAAATACAAATCTGTAACCATTTAAGCGTAGCCCATCTTGATTCTCTGCGGTTACTCATCCTTTTTCTGACCAAGTCCCGTTGGCTAAAAGTTTCCTGTCTCATCGGTATGACAAGCCACAGCTCGTTCACTGCAATTCTGGCCCTCCAATTATTCTTACTATTAATTTCATTAGAAGATCGGTGTAAGACCACCCCAGCCCCAAGAGGGAACAGGTCTAGATGAGGGAGGGCAATAGGATTAGTATGGTGAGGTTTCTGTCTCAGGCTTCCAGATTTAATAGACTGACAGAAAATTTTGTGAGGCAGAAAGTGAGTGAAGAGAAACATTTAACTGAAAAGTGGTGTCAACTGTACATGTGGCATTATCTGATGAGGAAAGACTATGTGCTGAGTGTAGAAACTTCTCTGCCTGGTTGCAATACAGGCGAAACCTGAAAGCCACTGTGTGATATATTGAAGCGACAGGGACTTGTCCACCCAGCCTCCCTGTGATGTGGCCAACCACTTCAGCTGCTTTTTCTTCAGCTGTGCCAGAGACAAACCTGTGCCGTGAAGTTGGAGACCTCCAAGCCTTGATCTCTTGTGTTTAGTGTTGGTGGGTAGTAGTACGAGCAGTTGAATTAAAGATTCTCTTAATCCTAAACGCCCAGATATCTTTAAGTAGAGTTGGATTTGGGTTGTATTAAGAGTACAAAACTGTTTATTATTAACCACACCAATTTTGTTTTTTCCTTTTGATTTGATAGCACACTTAAAAGAGAGGCTGGATGAGTATATTAAGCAGTGGAACGGTCTTGTAAAGGTATTTCGAAATGAGAGGAGAGAAGGTTTAATCCAAGCTAGGAGCATTGGAGCCCAGAAGGCTAAACTTGGACAGGTAGGAGCCCATTCACACACAAGTCTGTCTTTTTTTATTTTGGGGGGGAGAGGTGGTGGTGGTTCTGTGTTCAAATAGACATGTAGAATATTGTTTTTTAAAAGAGATTAATTTACTTGTTTAAGCTTCCTTTTTTTGTTTATAATACAAAATTATGTCAATGTAAACAAGTTTAATTAAATCATTGTGATCTCGTATACAGAAATGGAAACTACTTTTTTTTTTTCTTTTGAAGGTTTTGGTTTACCTTGATGCTCATTGTGAGGTGGGAATTAACTGGTATGCGCCACTTATAGCTCCTATATCTAATGACAGGTAATGTTCTCTTGTTATTGGCAGTGTCTGGCCTCTTAGGAAGAAAAAGTCACAGTTACAATTTTCACTCCTCAAACTATAGTTAATATGTTTTATATCTATATCAAACTATATCAATATTTGCTCTATGGTGATTTTATTATCTCCCAGCATAAAAGCTATATAAGGAGGAAGGAAAATAGTTAGGCAAATAAATCTCTGGATAGTTTATTTCAATAGGCATGCTGAAGATTTTTCTTAGTATAGATTAAATATAAGACAACTCTTGTCTTTTGCAGCAGTCTGAGGCAGTCTTATAAAAATGTTCCTTTTAGCTGAATAAAGAGCTTGATTAAACAAAATAACTGAACAGTAAGTGATTTTTGGTAGAGGAAAAGTAGCAGTAAGTTTTGATTTAACAAGGATTTAAAGCCCCTGTGATCTCAAAGAGTTTTATAACTTTCTCATCTTTGGTCTTGCAATATGGTCTTACTTTTTTCCTCTGATGCACTTTGGAGCGCTGCCTCTAGCGAACCGGGGCCAGGGCTTGAGCCTGTCCCTGCCGCGAGCCCGGAGGCTTGCTTGGAGTCGGTGGTGGAAGTGCCTGCGCTGTGTGCGTGGGATCTGCGAGAGGTGACAGAAGAGGGAGATCCCCAGGGGCTTCATTTCTTCCAGCTGTTGAAATGCTGTTGTTGCTGTGTGCTACCGCTCTTAGCTTGTGTGGTCGGGGGGGTATGTGTGTTTAGGAAACCATGTGCTTGTTTAAACTCTTTAATCCCATAAAATAACTGCTTAATCCTAAAAACTATTTGTTAACCTGTCTTACTACCAGAACTTTCTTGAAGAGGGTTTTTTGTGTGTTTTAAAGGCTGTAACTCAGCTTCAAGACTACATTTGAGGCCAGGGTACTAGAGAGAAGCTGAAAATGCTTCTGTGCTTCCATTGAGTGTGTGTTACTCTTTTTACACAAGAAAGGCAGGTGAGAACAGGCAGCTTTAGCGGCGTCCCCCAGCACCACGCGCTGAGACGGGGGTTACGGGAGGACCAGAGGTGCCAAGGCGCACGATGCCAGGCGGCTGCACTCGGCAGCCTTCTTCCAAGCCCTGGTCCCCTGGGTGCAGCTTGCTGCTGCTTCTGCCTCAAAGAAGAGCACAGCATTAGTGTTTCTTCCACACACACACTTGTTTTTCTGTCCCAGGCTAGATACAAGGAAGAAATTTTTCCCAATGAGAGTGATGAAATGCTGGCCCAGGTTGCCCCAGAGAAGTGGTAGATGCCCCATCCCTGGAAACATTCAAGGTCAGGTTGGATGGGGCACTGAGCAACCTGATCTAGTTGAAGGTATCCCTGCTCATTGCAGGGGAGTTGGACTAGATGACCTTTATAGGTTCCTTCCAACCCAAACTATTCTATGATTCTATTTTATCTTACAGGATTTGGCTTAAAAAGATGGAAGTGCTCCAAGTTTGGTCACCATGAAACTCATTTGGAAAATTTGGGGATAATAACAAGATAATGTCTTTTCCTTGATGGATATTCTATATGGTAGATCACAATGAGGAGCATATTGCAAATCAAAGAGGACAAATTCTACTGAAGACTGGTTCTAGGAGCACCAGTAATGTTTTTTTTACACTGAGATGTTGGATTTGCAGGGCAGTTGAATGGGACAGAATAGTGATGTTCCATGTTTACACTAGTAAAAGCTAAGACCTTATCATACGTGTTGGCAGCCAAGATCTGATACGAATAGAAATTATGGGAAATAATAATACTGTGAGAACCCTACCCTCTTAAAGGCTCCTCTGTTGCCTCCAGCAGTGCTTTATTAGAAGACCGATGTCAAGAAATACACATAAAGGAAGAAGTATCAATAAATGAATTGATCTATTAGTATTTCAGACCAAACTTTTCTGCTTTTAGAACCTGTTAAAACAACATAAAGAAAGGACTATCTCTTTTTTCTTCTAAGGAGTCTTCATTTTTTAATGTTTACAAGTGACTTTTCATATAAACTGCTCTGTAAGATTAATGACTAATGGTTTAGATTTCAGATTAGTCAGATTACTCTTCTGAAATTGTATTTTGCTCTTTCTTTCCCTTCTACAAATGTTTCAGAACTACATGTACTGTACCTCTAATAGATTACATAGATGGGAATGATTATTCCATTGAGCCACAACAAGGTGGGGATGAAGATGGCTTTGCCAGAGGGGCCTGGGACTGGAGCTTGCTATGGAAACGAATTCCGTTAAGCCACAAGGAAAAGTCCAAACGAAAACATAAAACTGAGCCTTATCGGTAAAGAGAGCTGTTTACATACTGTGAATTGTAATGAATAATTGTCTAAACCCTTTCGTTTTTCCCTCCCCACTCTTTTCCCATGAACTACGGCCGGTGCACGCGGGTCCTTGCACATAACCGCATCTTCCCTGCCACCATCCGCCACCCTGCAGAACCACATGCACTGTGCCGCTTATAGATGTCATAGATGGCAACACTTATAAGATTGTGCCGCAAGGGGGTGGTGACGAAGATGGGTTTGCTAGAGGAGCATGGGATTGGAGTATGCTATGGAAGAGGGTTCCCTTGACCAAGCGAGAGAAGGAAGGCAGAAAGACAAAAACTGAACCGTATCGGTAATCACTAAATCACTTACCCGTTTCTTTTTTTCTGAAGTCGATATTGATCCACTAAAACTTGCATGTACTTCTAGCCTGAAAATCTTTGTATTTCTAACCACGCCAAACTGCTTTGTTTGATCAGACCTATTTGCTCGAAATACCTTTGCTACCTTGTGTTGCCTCTCCATTGTGTGGTTAATAGGGTGCACATTAGAAATACAGGGTTTTGTTTGGCAAAATAAAATATTGTATGACTTTGTTTCTAGGGAAAACTTTATTTAGCTACGATACTTTTAAAAAGTAGTGCTGGAAACAACAGTGCTTATTTAACCATTTGGTTTGAAATAACGAGCATGCTGTGAGTATTTATAATAGCTGGTAATGCATAAAATCTGTAGCCTGCTGTCACGGCTCGATGCATGCATACAGCTCATGGATTATGCATGTGCATCAAAAAAAATCCGTTTTGTCATATTTCTCCCACTTGCTTCATAATAGATCACATCTGACAAAGAAGAATACTATTTAAGAATCTTGGCTAGATCTTTTCTAAGGTCTCGGTATGTGTGGGGATTTTCATTTAATATATATAACATTAAAAAAAAAAAAAAACTTTATTTTCTGAGAAAACTCCAATAACTTTCACAGAAATCCCACCTTTTCCTTTCGCTTTGTAGGGGGGGGTGTTTTCTTCCCAGCAAACAGAAACTGGCTAGAAACCCTAGCTTAGAAACTAGGGTTTCTGGATGGCTTCTCAAGGCTGGGAGACTGTGGTTCTGCTGGTTTTTATTACTTTCCCCTTCACACTTAACTAATCGTGTTACTACATTTGAAAGCAATCCTCACATCTTCAGAATCTAATGTCTTCTATTGCTTGTATATATGATTTAAACATTGTAAGAACTGATGTTGGTAATTCCCTATCCTCACCCATGATTGTTCTCTGCTAAAATGGCAACACATGCAAGGAAGTTATGAAGCTTTGATCTGTTTTGTATGCAGTATAAATAATACCATTTTGTCCGCATTGGAACTTTAATATTCGCTTAGAGGGGGATAAACTATTTCAAACATTGCTGTTGTGTTCTGTGTTTACCATCCAAACAGGTCTTAAAATCCTTTAAACTGTTCCCAGAAACAGAGAACACATGTTCTCAGAACGGTTTAAAAGATGACTTTATTTTTAATAATACTTTCAGACTTACAACGCTGCTTCTAAAAGGACGCATTCCCTGCGTCTGTTTATGTCCGGGATATATGCATTTTGTTGCAGCAATATCAAGGCAAGTAAGACCGAGTAAAAGCCTTGCAGAAACCATAGCCAGGGTTGCCTAGTTTAAAAAGAAACCAAAACAAAACACCTCAACAGCTTAAAGCGCAGAAGAAAGCTTTTTGTAATGTGAGAATTGCCCCAGGACTGAATCCTTTCAGAAATATTATGCTTACCTCTTCACGTCCTATAAAATAAACCGCTGAGCTTATGCGGATTTTACTGTGTTCTTTAACACACCTGACGGAGGCCGAGACCGAAACTTCAGCGTCTGAGGCCGCTACGCTTGCCAAGCTGAGGAAAGCCAAGCGCACGGGAAGCGCCGGGGCTGTGCCGCGCGGCGCGCTCCTCCGCGCCGAG